GTTACCTCTCTTTGTGCAAACTACTTGGCTGGATGGGATGGAGATGAGGGAGCTTGTGGTGCAGATAATACAAGGCATTGAATAAATAAAAAAATACTTCTTTCTTTTTACGTTTAAAGTATATCATATGATTCCAGGACTGCAGACTAATTGTGTTTGGCTCAGGCTGACACAAACATGAATTTGCATTCCCTGAGCACGTATGCTGACTGATGGTGGGAAAGGTGGCCCAGTATCAAGCTGGGTAGTGGGGGTAGGGAAGAAACAATCTGGGATTTTAGACATTTGTTATAGACAAAAGAGTAATTCACAAATGGATACCTGAGAATCAACTGAACTTTTCAAGTTACTGAGCAATGGGTCCACATAGGATCCCTAGGACTTGAGTAGATCTCAAGAGGTCATATAGTCCATCCCCAGTTAGGCTGAAACACAACTATACCTAAACAGTCTGGAATCTGACTCATAGAGAAACAGCCTCTCTAGCTCCTTCCTTCTAATGCTTGCCATTCTTATTGTCTGAGAAATCTTTGCATTTAATGCCACGTGCTTATTGGTCTGTCATAGAATCACATAATGCTAGCTCTGGACAGGGTTTTGGAGATCATCTAGTCCAAATTTACAAATAAGGAAAATGAGGCTAAGAGAGGAGAAGGTTCTTGCCTGAGATCACACAGCTTAGTAAGGTTCAGTTAGAATATTACACCTAGTCTCAGGACTACAGGAGGAAAACATAGCTATACACTCATGCAAGATTTATAACTTTTAAAAGCATTTTCTCCTTTTTCTCATTGGACTCTACCAATAATCTTCTGAAGTAGGTTAAACAGAAGGAAACACTTCTCCTCCTCCCCCCACCTCCCATCCCATTGTTTAGTTCAGGAAACAATGATTATTTACCTGCATACCTGTTAGATTTTTATAAGAGCTCTTACTGATTCAAAAGGGCAGCCAATTCTGGGTATGGAAGTGAATAAGAACTACCCATTTTTCTAGTCCTAAGAGATTCCTGTATTGCACAAGAGAGAAGTCCTGGGTAAAACAGGACTCAAACTACTTCAAAATAATTCCTTTAAAATATCTTGGAGAAAGGCCAGCCACACCTGAAAGTGTAGTAGGTGGACAACTACATGGTAGAATTTCAGGGATCAGAGAAGGAAGGCATCACCTCTCTCCTTTCTCCTTCCCTTCCTCTCTTCCTGACAATTCTCCACCCATTGGCTGATTCTGAGACTCTGCCATTATAACTTAATTTCTTTGACTGACTCTATCCAAGAGAAACATACATCTCCTGGGAAGGGTATTGCATTAAGCATTTGTAAATTAGCCCCATTTGAATGAATTTATTACTAAATTTCCTGAGAGTAGCTTTAGAAGGGGGGGGGGGGGGGGGGGGGAGAGGGCCTGGGGGGGAGGGGGGGGGGGGGGGGGGGGGGAAGAGAGCCTGAGGGCCATGGGCAGCTGGGGAAGGGGAAGACCAGGGAAGCATGAAAAGAACAAAGACCAGGGAACCCGGGGCGCTGAAAACAAACTTTACCAATTTTGTAATTCCTAGCACGTCTTCAAAATTTGGAATCAAAGTTTGAAACTCCATATGGGTGTGGAGGAGGGGGATATTTGCTTCCCAGCAAGGCTCTTTTGATGCTGAAGATGAGCCTAAAAGCTCTTCAGTGCAGGGACTGTTTCCTCCTTTTCTGTTCCCACACTGCCTTGCCCAATTTAGGGGCACACAGTCCAATTTAGGAACACTGTGCATGCTTAATGTATGTTAAGAGATGACAGAGGTGCCAGAGTATGCTTCGTGAGAAGGCAGGAGAAGCTTAATGAGACAGGAGGCTGTTTGAAAAATTCTTAGGATCACAGATCTAGAACTGGACAGGACCTCAAAGGTAATTTAGCCTGCATCCTTAATTTTACAGAAAAGGAAACTGAGGGCCGTGGAAGTTCAGTGACTTACCTGAGGTTGCACAGGTAGTAAATGTCAGAGGCAAGATTCATACTCTCTTTGTTGGGGATTTGGGGGGGGGCAGGGCAGTGTGGTATAATGGAGCAAACACTGGGTTTGAAGTCAGAGGACCTGAGTTTAAATACTTAGCTCTCCTGCTTCCTACCTATGTGATCTCTAGCAAATCATTTGCCCTCTATGCCTCAGTATACTCCATGAAAAATAAAAGAGTTGGACCAGATGTTCTCTAAGATGCCTTCCAGCGATAAGGTTGATGTTCCTGTAAGAATGCTGTAGTTGAACTTTCACCAGAATTTGGTAGAGGAGTCAAACCTAAGGGACTCTTTTTCATAAACTGACTCTCCTGACAAACATTGCTGATTATCTTACCTGTAAACTCTGGAAAGAGATGAGTAGGGGGTCTATGTTGGAGGCCTTTGCTCTTTGGAGAAACACTGAAAGAAGCTTGCCCAAGTTGTGAGTTGGTCATTGTTGAACAAATGGATGAAATTTAAACAGATCGACTACGCTTCCAATAGAATGTAAATTCCTTAAGGGCAAAGGCCTTTTGTATTTTGTCCTTGTACCTCCAGAGCCTGGGGTAGCTAAGTAGCCTAACAGATAGAGTGCTGGGCCTGGAGTCTAAATCTGGCCTCAGACACTTACTAGCTGTGTGACCTGGGCAATTCACTTAACCCTGTTTGCCTCAGTTTCCTCACCTGTAAAATAGCTGGAGAAGGGAATGGCAAACCACTCCAGTATCTTTGCCAAGAAAATCCCAAATAGGGTTACGACTGAAAAGAGTGAACAACAACAATAATCAGTTAGTCAATGAGCATTGATTAAGCCCCTAGAATGCACCAGGCCCAGTGCTAAGCCCTGGGGATACAAAGACAAAAGACTTGCCCTGCCCCTGAGGAACTCTCAATTTAATTGGGAGAAACTATGGAGAAAATGGGCATAACTGTAACTCTCATTCCTCATATACCACCTACCTAGGAAAGGGAACACATTTATTAAGTGCCTACTATGTGCCAGACACTGTGCTATGAGTTAAAGTGTCTGAGGTCATATTTGAACTCAGATCTTCCTGACTTCAAGTTTAGCATTCTATCCACTCTGGCACTTAGTAAAGGGAGGATTTGTTTGTTTGTTTGTTTTTAATTTTAGTATGTGCTTTTGGAGCCGGATGCTAGTGCCTTTGAGCCTGAGAAAAATGCCGAACCCTTCAGGTAAACTTCCTCCTTGGCCTTGTTCCTCCCCAGCCCAGAGACTGGGCATAACTGGCTTGCCTGGGGAGAAATGATTCTTCCTGCCCTGCTCACACAATTCAATTAAACATGAAAGTCATCATGGAGGAATGGGATAGAGTTGGCTTTAGAGTCAAAAAGACTTGCTTATGATTCTCACCTCTGATATATACAAGTTTTGTGACCCTGTGGAGATTCATTGTATAGATAAAGGCTGGATCTAGAGCTCGAAAGACCTGGGTTTTCCTATCCACCTTGGACTCTTGCTAGCTGTGTGACTTCGGGTAAATCGCTTAACCTTTCTGGACTCCAATTTTCTAAAATGAGGGAATTGGATTTGATGACCTTTGGGGATGTCTAGAAGCTCTAAATCTATGACGCTAGGACTCCAGGCAAGCCACTTAACCTCTTAGTGCTCCAGGCAGTTCTGGAACCCTTTGGCAAAATGATGAAGCCTAATTGAAGGAAATGCTAAACTGAAGGTAGAGGTTGGTGAAAATAAAGATGCATTTTTTTCCCATGCACATTTGTGGTCCCCTTGAAATTTATCCATAGTCAAGAACCTCTACTTTAAACCTAGAAATTCCAGAGTGGATGTCGATCTGTACCGAGAGGAGTTTCCTTATTGGAAATTCCCTAAACCTGCAAAACCCAGGTCTCTCCCCTCCCCCCTTCCCACCAACCCAGCCCTAATGTGTATTGGTTTTCAGAGGATACAAAAATAAAAAAAGGAAAAGTCTTTGCCCCCAGGTAGATTACATTCCACGGAAGAGCTGTAGTCTCGCCATCATTGTGTCTTCTATTCTCCAGCCTAAATATACACCAAGTTCCTTCACTCAATACTGAGATGGCATGGTCTTCAGGGCCCTTGCCATATTGACCTCTATATCCTATGGATACTTTTGTTCTTGCTGTTGAGTTGTTTTCCGTCGTCAGACTCCTCAGTGACCCTATTTGGTATTTTTTTTTGGCAAAGATAGTGGAGTGGTTTGCCATTTGTTTCCCTAACTCATTTTACAGATGAAGAAACTGAGGCAAACAGGGTTAAGGGACTTGCCCAGGGTCACACAGCTAGTAAGTGTCTGAGATCGGATGGGGAAACTGAGGCAAACAGGGTAAAGGGACTTGCCCAGGGTAGTACAGTTAGGAAGTGTCTGAGATCAAATTTGAACTCAGATATTCTTGATTCCAGGCCTGGCACTCTATCTACTGCACCACCTTATGGGCACTAAGGACCCTGTTATCTGAAGGGTTTTTAAAAATCATTTCAGAGTATTATTATTCTTTGGAGGGAAAAGGTAATTTTAATGTCTATATTTGGTACAAGGTCTTTGGGTGGGGTATCATCAGTATCCTTTTGTGTGTGCTATTATCACTAATAATCAACTCAGACATAATGTGCTTTGTAGGGGCCGTCTCCCTCAGTTTTGTGGATGTGGGGATGCTAAGCAGCATCTTCATCTGATTATATATAGATTTTTGTTTTGTTTTGTGGGGTTTGGGGGAAAAGGGGCAGTCTGGACCCATGATTTCATCGGTGTATAGATCTTTCAGTGAGAAAACTGCCAGTATCCATGCAGGTCTGTCGCTGTTGGGTGATTTGAAGTCTTAGAGAGTTGTCTGGGGGCACTGAAGGGTTAAGCGACTTGCCCCTGGGTCACCCAGTCAATACACATCAGGGGCTTGACCTGAACTGCTTTCTTCCTGACTCAGAGGCCCACTTTCAATCCACTATGCCAAGTCAAATTTGACCGTAAAAGACTTCATAATCCGCATTGGGATATATACTTTGGGTCAGCTCTCACCTCAAATTGAACTGCAAGTGGCGAGTTTCTGTCTTCTAGCATTCAGCAGGCATCTTCTCTCTCAGAGAAAAATCATCCTCCTGGAGATTAAATCCATGTAAGTTAATCGTACATGCCTTTGCATTTGCACCACCGTGAGTGTAGAGGCTCAGGCAAAGCTTCCCTTGGCTCCCAACTACCCCAAGGATCGCCGCAGCCTCTCCAGCCGCGAAGCAGCTCCCGAGAAACCAGTTCTTCCAGGCTGCGGGCTCATCTGCTGTCATTTAGTGCGCGCGGCTTCCCGAACCACTAGTCTAGTGCCTAGACCGACTAGTAGAGGTGATGCTAAAACAAACAGGACCCCAGTTTCTACCCCTCAGAGGCCAGCAGGTGTCCCGGGCTCCGAGGGCTGATCCCAGTCCCGAAAGAGTTAAGTCATCGGGCCTTCTCTCCGCTGGTTCAGAGAGGATTAGGATTTCCTGGGACTGCCCAGCTATCACTACGGTTTATTCTCTCTCAGCGTGTGCATGTATGCGCTTTCCCCTTTCCTCCCCCTTTGTAGTTTCCTAGGTTATCCTTCTTTCCTCCTCTCTCCTGCCTCCCCCCACACCCTCCAGCCTGGGCCCTCTTTCTTTCTTCCTGTCTCGCCTTCCTGTGGCGAAGGAGGCTCATCCATTATAAATGCACATACTGTACTGACATCACCGCCGCTGCCAGAGCGAGCCGCGAGGACAGCTTAATCAGATTCCGAGGGGTGGTCCCTCCCCCCCCCCCCCCCCCCCCCCCCGCGCTCCCTCCTCCCCCTCCCCCATCTTCCTCCCTCCCTCGCTGCGCTCCCCTCCACTCTGCTCTGCGCGCTGCGCTCTGCCCGTAGCCACTGACGCCGCCGCGGAGCCCTCTGCGGGGCAGACACCGCCGCAGCTCTGCGCTCCCCCTCGCTCCGCTCGCTTCCTCACTCGGGCCAACCTCCCGCATCCACAAGAACGGAGGAGACAGGAGGGGGCGGAAATCCAGAGCGAGCAGGAGCGCGCGAGGAGAAGTGGGCTGCCCGCCCCCCATCTCGCCACCCCTCCCTCTCCGCCACCCTTGGGCTTCGGGAAACCTTGGCGACTTCCCCCAGACTTTCTGCATGACTGTCACGAAGGTAAGCGTCTTCCACCAGCCCGGCCCTATGGGAGCCGGGCTGCAGCGCCCGTGGGGCAGCTCCCAGGCTGAAGGGGCAACCGGACTGCGGACGCAGGGTGCAGGCTGGAGGAGAGGGCAGGGCAGTGGAGGGAAGGGGAGGGGAGGAAGTCCTCTGCTGCTGGCTTGCTTTTGCGTTGACATGGGTGTCTTCTGTCTTAAAGGTGCAGCGTGCACTCCGCCCCCTACCCCAGCCCCCTCTCTGCTAGCGGTCTTCTCTCACCCACTCCCATGCCCTCCTCCCCAAAGCCAAGTACTTCCACTACTTCGCCCCGGATGAGTGGAGAGTGGGTGCAAGGAAACAGCTTTGTCGTGACCGGCAAGGGGAGTGGGATGGGCGGGAGGACGGCCCCCTGGCTGGGCACCCGGGGAAGTGGCTCCTTGCCTCGGATACTGCATTTTTAACCCCTTGAGGACTCGGGCGGCCAGCTCCGTGATCCGCGCTAAGGCTCGCCAGTGTATGTCAGTGGATGTGTGGCTGCATGCCTCCCGCACACCTCTCAGCAGGTCCCCGGGAGGGCCTGGCTGTCATTTCATGAGAATTGCTCTCCTTGCTCCAGGGCAACCCACAGAATGAGGGAGAGCCCCTAGACTTCAGAGAGCCGGCCTCTCCTTGCTTCACAGGGAGCTCTGATTCCGCTCGGGAGCAACGTCTTTCCGAGGGTCGACAGGTGGTCGGGGGTGCGGTGGGGGGAGGGGAAAAAGGGGAGCCCTTTGAAGGGCTTGGTGAGACAAGACAGGGGTCAGAGCCTTGGGTGATGGAAGAGAATATTAATGGTATGCAAGATGAGGAGCAAGGTTTATTTCTAAACGGTGTCGCTTTTTGCTTTTCTATCTTGATATAAGAAGGGGTTAAGAGGGAAAGAAGAGGATTATTACAGTACCTTGCAAAGAAGAACTCAACTGGAAGTAGGGAGATCTAGGCTTTAGTCCGAAGGCCACATTGTGTGAAATTGGCCAATCACACACAAACTCTTTCAGGCCTCAGTTTCCTCATCTATAGCGCAGAGTACAGCATTGGATCCTACCAATGGAAGATCCAATGAGATAATGTTTGCAAGAAGTGCCTGGGAAAGTATGTGCCAAAGATGGCTTCATGAATGATGTCAATTCCTTTGATGGCCAAAGGGACTGTGTATTACTTTCCATTGGGATTTGGGATAAAATCGTCCATTGCTTCCCCAAATACTACTCACTACCTTTTCTTCCCACTGGCCTGGCTGCTAGAGTTGGGTAGGTGATGCCAAGAATAGGGATTCAGTCTGTGTGTGCTGGCAGGGCCATGGGGCATGATGGAATGCCAGTTCTCAGGCCTACGGAAAGGGGTGGGGAAGGTCAGAGAGCTCAAGTCTTTACTGATTAACTAGCTATGGGGCTGCATACTACTTTTGATAGGGTTAAGGTGGAATAAACCCAAGAGAGAATCTGTTAAGGAAATTTGAGCTAAACTTTTTCAAAAGGGTACTGGGGTTTTTTTTTTTTTTTTTTTTTTTTTTTGACAGCTTAGTCTAGGTACTCGGGCAATGTGTTAGAAAAACAACTTGGGAACAAACTTTCTGTCTGTAACCTTATAAACAAAAAGTTTGTTTCCAAACACGTTTCTGGGGCGTGTGTGTGTGTGTGTGTGTGTGTGTGTGTGTGTGTGTGTGTGATGATTTTTCCTCTTCATTTTCTCATGTCAAGTGAAAAGACTTCAAAAGTTGTCAAGTCACTTCATTCCCTTCTCTAGGTCTCAGTTTCCTCATTAGTAAAATGAGGGGATTGAACTATATGATTTCTGAGGACCTTTCCAGCTCTCACAAATTGGAGGAGTTAATAATGACTCTGAAGATGGAAGAAAGATTGTTTGTGTAGAATGGACGAGATGAGGAAGATTTGAAGTTGCTCAAGCTTTTTTTCTCTTAGATACTTTGCAGACTCAGAAGAGATGACCAGCCCAGAAATGACTGTATCCGTTGGCATGGCAAGACAGAAGGGTATTGTGCTTCAGGTTGATGGTCTGGACATACTGAAAATCGCACCCCCCTTCCTTCCTTCTCCATCAATATCAGAGTTTCTTAGCCATTTTTGTGTCATGGAACCCTTTGGCAATCTGGTGATGCCTTCTCAGAATAATGTTTTTAAATGCGTAAAATAAAACACATAGGATTACAAAGGAAGCTAATGTTTTTGATATATAGCATTTTAAAACTCTCCACAAGTTCATGAACCCTTGGTTAAGCACAAATTAAGTCAGCTCAGAGAATGTCATGATTCTCTGCTTTCCTTAGGGTGGGGTTGGGTGAGTAGGGTGGAAAACAACTAGGTGGCACAATGGACCTGGAGTTTGGAAGACCTGAATTCAAATCCAACTTCAGACATTTATTAGCTGTGAGACCCTGGGCAAGTCACTTAATCTCTGTCTGCCTCTGTTTTCTCATCTGTTAAGTTGAGATAATAGCAGCTTCCAGGATTGTTGTAAGGATCAAATGAGATAATATTTGTAAAGTGCTTTACCAACTGTAAAATGCTATATAAATGCTAGCTATTATTATCAGGGGTGGGCAGTAAGTGGGTTTGCAGATTGGGGGCCAGGAAAGGTGAGCATGAAAAGTAGGAATGAGAGACCTATAATTAAATCTAAGGCGTCGTTATTTGACCATATTCAGAATAAATGTGGACAGGAAGATGCTACTCCAAAGGCATGTAATAGAAAGTGCACTAGACTAAGAGGCCTGGGTTTTAGTCCCATCTTGTCCTATGAATTAGACTTTTTCTTGTCCTGATCTTGCTGGTAACTTACTGTATGATCTTGGGCTCACTGGGTTGCAGTTCCTTTCTGGGAACTCAGTTTCCTCATTTGAAAGGGTTTACTCTACACAGTTGTTGTTTTATTTCAGTGGTGTCTGACTTTTCATGACTCCTTTTGGGGTTGTCTTGACAAAGATACTGGAGTGGTTTGCCATTTACTTCTCCAGATTATTTTACAGATGAGGAAACTGAGGCAAACAGGATGAGGTGACTTGCCCAAGGTCACACAGCTAGGACGTGTCAGAGGCAAGATTGGAACTAACGACGAAGCTCAAAGGGTTGAGCAAGGCAATGGGACCAGAGTCTTGCATTTCTCTCCATGGTGCTTTGCACCACCCTGCTGGTCTCTCTCACTTTCTAAACTGTTAAGTTTAGGGGGAGGCTTCAGCCTCCTTTCCCCTCTCCTTCAGTCTCTGACCAGGACAAGATAGCTTCCCTGGAGCTGACTGGGTCAGGCCATTACAATGCTCTCCTCCCAGGAAAGACTCCCTTTTGAAACGTGTTCTTTGGCTCTCTGAAATGATCCAGACCTCCTGCTGAGAGGGGCGTCTGACTACCTCAGGACCACAATTCCTGCACAAGAAGATTAGCAGCCTTCATAACTTTATGACCAATGGCCCTTTCTAGGACTCAGCTTCCTCTTGTCTAAAATAATGTTGATGGGACCAGATGACCTTTTAGCACTAAAAGTAGGTCCTGAGGCCGCAGCTTTGGAAATCAAGACTCAGCCTAAATCACAAGGGGGCAAATAACCTGTATTGAGACCCCTCTCTTTGGGCTTTGGCATAGGAAAGAGCCCTGTGCCCCTCTGACTCTTTGTCTTCTCAGCTGGAAAAGCCTAATGGGATTCTGGGCTGGACACTCTGATAAGCTGGCTAGCTCCATCCCCAGACTAGAATTTGAGATGCTGCTTCCTCTCCCTCACCCTCTGGAAGGGGTCCCCAGTTCAATTTCCTCTCAAATTCCCACCCTTTGGCTACATGTTTCATTGATCTTAGAGGCAAAATTCCATTTCAGGGCAAGAGTTAGAAGACCTACCCAGAGAATCTACCTCACCCAGCCCTCTGGGCTAGGCTGGTTGGCTGGAGAATATCTCAAGTACCCCACTTTCCTGAGGAATCATAATTAAGAATGACTCCTAAGCTTTGGGGAATGCTAGAGGCCAGAGTGTTTACCATTGTGGTACATGCAAGGGTAAGGTGCTCTGTGGGATGCAGAAATGCATGAGATCCAATTGATCTATGATCTTGAAGATTGTACATTTCCTTTAGGTTGACACACACATGTGTGTATCTCCTTGGGGAGGGGTACATACATGAAAAGTTTAAATAATAACACAGAGCAATAATACAGAAGACATTATAAGACTGTATCTGATTAACTGTCAAATAGGATAGATACTAGTGGCATAATATACAAATGTAGTCTTATCAACTATTTTGCCCCTACATTAAATGACCTAAGATTATTGAGCCTTTTGAAGTCATGCTCCAGTTTTTTACAGTTTGTCTCCTCCACATTAGTTGCTGTCAATATGCCTCTTCTTGCAGTACTCCATTCTCCTCCTCAACCCCAACTTATTGCTTTTATTTCTTACGGGCAAAGAAATTAGTGACCAAATGTGTCAGAACTGTATGGAAAATAGGAGTAAATAGGCTCAGAATGAAGCGCTGATGGATCTTTCTATGAGTAAATTGCTTGAGGTATATTGTACAGGCTTTAAGAATATCTATTTCTACTATTCAGATTTCTTTTTTTTTTCTTTTCTTTTTGGCTTCCTTCCTTCATTTTTAGCTGTGCATTGCTGGTCAGTCAACAACCATTTATGAAGCCTTTATTATGTTGCCGGCATTGTGAGACAGGTAGTTTTTGAGTAAGTGGAATGGTCTAGAATGTAAATGACTTTCAGATTATCTGTGCCACAAGGTAACTCCATAAAGGAAGATGTTTTGGAGTTGACTGTGGTTCAAGTTTATGCAACATTAACTGAGAGGTAAGATTCATGAGCAGGAAAGTGTAGGATAAGAAAAGCCCTAGACATCCAACAGGCCTTTAAGATAGAAATTTAGTTTTATAGAATCATACATTTAGATTGAGGATGGACTTCAGAGGCCATCTGTCCAACCCTTTCATTGTACAGATGATGACAATAAGACCTAGAGAGTTTAAGTG